TTTGAAAAGAGTAACAAGTAATGAGTAATCTATTACATTTTTAGAGTAACAAGCCCAAAGCGCTGGGCATTAAGTTATTACCATTACCACAGAGTTGTTTAAGTTGTTATACGCTACAGTGTGTGCTGGTCAGCCGACCTTTTTATTTAATGTTACTGCTGATTGCTTCTCTACTTCCTTAATGTTCATCTCAGGGTGACAGCGCAAAAAGCATTCACAATACACTTCACGTTCACCCCACAAATGTAACTATTTACACATTAAACTAAAACAAGCTTGCAACTGCTGTTATCTCTAGTGTGTCCATGCCATAGACCGTCCAGGTGCTGCACTGCTCTCGCAGTTGAGTTCTGCTTCTTTCGTAAATACATTACTTTCCCCACTCCTAATATAGTATACCATTTGGTTATTCAGAGCACCACACTCTCAGAACAGCAGTGCACATTCTCGGAACCCATCGGCTGTATTCGGCGTCTGACTTCTGGCAGACAGCGATACAGCCTCTGGGGGCAGATCCCCGATTTTTTGGCATTCCAGTTTGATTTGGGCGGAGGAGGTGAATTTACGTTTCCGACTTCCGTTTATATATAAGTAAATATGCTGAACCATTGCGATGGATTCAGAGTTTGCACTGACGCCAATTATGTTCCGCCTCGTTAGTTCACCGCACGGACCATTTAACCTGGCAGCAACTGCAGCCGACTCAAACGTGATTGGTCAATATCACGTGGACTACAAACAGCCTACAACCGGAAACCAGGGCTCTTCCGCTCTTCTTCCGGAGTCAAGATCTCCGGGGTTTGCCTACAGACTCTACATTCACTGAAAGTAGAGTCTGTATATAGAGACTAAGCAGTGCATAATCTGAGCACAGATAGAGCAGCACAGTGCCAAGTGCAGTGAAAAGTTAAACATAACCATTTTTTAATTCATGTAGAAATAGAGCACAATATTTCTTAGAACAACAGAGCTCTCATTTTTAGTGTACAGCGACTAAGTGAATATACAAACACACCCATCAACGACCTGTCTGTCGTCTTCTCAAACTACTGGATGCATTCCCATGGAAACCATACAGAATCAACAGAAAGTTGCTGGTCTCCTGTAAGCTACCGCCACATGTAGAATCTAATTCTGTGGGGAACAGTGCACACAGTTTTTAAACTAAGCATAGTCCAATTTTTATAACAGGCTCGACATTATTTCGCTTTTCAAATTGCTCAAACTGGAAACAAATCCACAGACCTCTGCTGCATTTAATGAGTTTCATCACCATAACCTTGATAGAAAACAAATGTTTTGCTGGTGTAACATCCAGGGTGCATGTAGAGGTTAGCAGTCATGAGCTGGGAGTACTGCTGAGCTGTATCATTCAAATATATATGTCCAGACAGCCATCTTCATATATTTTGAAGTTGATCCAAAAGTAGGCAAACAGCTGAATAAAACATTGAGTGAAGCAGGAAATCCACCACATTTTGTCCTGATGGGCTTCCTGTAGAGTTCCTAGAGAAGCATTAGCAGGGAGAGAGAGAGACTTAGAGTCGGACTCCTGTTCTGTAATTCTAACAAATCTGTTGCGTTCAGAGGTAAATGTTGCTTAAAGGTCTTGAACTCCAACACAGTTGCTCTCAGTCATTCTGGCTGATTAGACTTCATCTCAGGTCCGAGCTGGACAGGGCTGTGATGATGATCATGGCTGCGCTCTATTTGGCCCGAGAAAAATATGGTGCAGGTGGAATATGAGGCAGTGGGTATTTTGTTATATTTTTGCCATGTCATGCCTTTATTTGAAGAGTGCACAGTCGAGAGGTGACAAGAAATGAAAGGACAGAGAGAAAATGGAAATAACCTGCAACAAAAGTCCCGAACACAAATAATGCAATCAAATGGTCAGTGCACTGAATGCCCCATGCTGCTGGGGTCTTTAAAGTAACCAGTGACCTGCTGAAGCACTCTGCAGGTTTCAATCCAAAATCCACAAAAATAAACAATGACCTCTTAAAATTTTACTAACCTCTTTGCAGAAATATAAGGGCAATGACTATTTCTTTTGCAAATCACCACTGACATAAATTATTAAACAAGACTAACAGTCTATCAGCCTGTTGCGATGTTACAGCCACAATATGTATGATCACACACCACAAACTGCTAAGTTGGCTGCTCCTACAGATTGTTTACACAGGATGCTTTTCAGATACATTTTTCAGTCAACCATCCTACACACATCTTACAGTATCCTGATTTTGACTGTGTTTTTTGGATCATCCTCTTAATGTTTTTTTCTGTTTTCAGAAACCTGGATCTGCTGCTTGGAGTACTCCCATAGAAACCAGAGGGCTGTACCACTAAGCACCTGACAGAGCCAAGCTTTCTTTGCCTAAGCCATCAACTGTCTCTGTTAACTCAGGCTTTCTGCTTCAGGCTCTGTGCTCATTCTCACAAAATGAGTTAAATGACACATTCAGCATGTCATACGACTATTAAAATGACTGATGCGAGCTGCCTACTTCAGCCTTTGAAGAATATTAAAAAAAGTATTAAAGTAAAAAGCAACACTGTTGCTTCAATTAAGGCAAGAAAGGAAAATTAGTAACCATGTGAAATCACAAGTTAATATTCATTTTACCACTCAGTTTATTTCCAACGTGACAGCTATAGCTCTTAAATGTCAAACCTGATGCAACAGATTTAAACATTATAGTCATAAAAGTAGAATGACATTCAGTCTCTATGGTTATACTCAGGATACGCATTTCCACATACTGACGCTGTTCCATTATGAAGGACATGTTAGTCTTTGGGCAAATCAAAGTGAAAAGAACTTTACTGATTTAATATTGTCTGCTATAAATACTAACAGACTAATAAATTATGTGATTGGGTCCCAGGCCAAAAAGGCAAGTTGGACAAAGTGCATTTATAACATGTTCCCTTAGCTAAGAATCTGTATCGCTTAGAAATTGACACTGATTACAAAGTGAGGCCAGTCAAAGTAGCTGTAAATTTCACTCAGTTCAAGCCAAAACTCAGAACATTAACTGGTCGTAACCAGGTTAGGTCTGCAGCATCAGCTACCATAGCGATCTACCCTGATTAAAAGAGAGCCACCTTTGAAGGGATGGAAAACTCTGGCTTCAGACTCAACATATACCTCACTAACCTACTAATTTAGCTTGGTGGTACAGCCCTCTGGATACTGTGTCATATAAACAGCTGATCCTGGTTTCTGATCATCCTTTGTTGGTGCCGAACATCGTGGCAGAGATGGTGAAAAATCAAGACACAGCTGGACACAGTGATCAGAAACCTGGATACTGTTATGCTTACAGGGGGACTTTTCATTTTCCATGTAAATAGCATATCGCAAATAAGATTAAAAACCAAACAAACAAAAACCTGGATAAATCTGATGAAACACCTCAAAACACAGCAGCACTGAAGCGACTCTGAAGCAGGACTGAAGGTGCTACTCTGCTGCTTCTGCTGCACAGCTGGTGTAGACAAGGTGTCAGAGCTTTGCTAGTAATGGAACACACCAGCCAACTCATTGTAAAACACTGAGCAAAAGCATCCGCCAAATTAATGTGATGTAATGGATCTAAAAGGTTTGTCTTGAGGCTAGACCTAGAGGTCACTGAGTTAACAAAAACCAACATACATTATAACGCATGCACCTACGAGCTTCTGCAATTATGTAACTGCAGCCGCTGTAGTTCTTTGTTGATGACTGGCTCGTTCTCTACCACCAGATAGCCATCAAATCCAAGAAGAATATGCCAAAATCTCCTCATTGCCCTGTGTTGTTTCTTTGAGGGGTTTGGTTCATCCTCTCAGGAGCAGGATGTGGTAAAATGTACAGATAATCAAGATCTGCACACATGTTTACAGTTTAAAACATCAGCATTTGCCCTCAAGATCCTAAACTGGTCAGAGCCCACGCAGATTGTTATACCCTTTATCTCTGTCTGTTTCACTAAGCTGTTTATTTACTCTCACACACTGCCAAAACACGTCTTAACACACACAAACACAAACACATACACACATTCTGGTTGCAGAACAGAGGCAACAGATCCCGTTTGTTGTTTAGCAGTAGATGACTGTTCAGCTTTGTTCTCTAAGATGGACAGAATAACAGAAACATTTACTACAGTCTAAGGGACCAGCACAAACAGCCAGAGCACAAAAGAGGGATTAATCTGCCGCTGAAAATAGTCTCTAACAAATACACTATTTCCTCCTTGGTTTTTTTGGATAACAACTACAGTGAGCAGCTGTTTAGGGATATTCGCCTAATCTTTGTTTCTTCAATAACAACAAATGGGCTTGGAACTGAGAGTCATACATAGGAAGTCAGACAGTATTTACAAGACTGACACAGAAAATCTTTGGTGTTTTTGCTTAAAAAATAACCTTATCACCCTATATTTTCAGATTTAATAAGTCAACAGTTTCTATCACTGAGAGTATTATTTTCATTTTTAAAGATCCACATTGACCAGTTTACAAGCTATCTACTCCAACCACAGTCTCGGCTCAGTTAAGTGCAGTGAAGTACACACAGTTTTCAGTGCACCTTAAACGCATCAGAGCAACCTTCATAAACCCTTTGAAGATGCTGACCAATCACGCTAAAAAATAAACAAAAAACAAGACACAAATAAACAATAATTTGGTTTTAACGCAAAATGAAAATATGTCGATTTTACGCTCATAGATTTGTGCGTAAAAAAGACATTACTGACCTGTTAGCTTGATTTATAAACTTGTGGGGACAAACCGACAACTGCCAACACAGGATGCTGAATGTTTACAGTTAATGACTGAACACATTCATAGCTGGTACTAAATTACAGTTTTATAAATTCTGGTCTTTAAGAAGACTTGTCCTGTTTTTATTTTTGGAACAACTTGTTGTGATTTGTGCTGTCTTTAATTTGGGTCCTAAACTCGTTAGATATTTAAGGTAAGGACCCCTGGACTGATGTGCCCACCTGCTTCGTGGATGTTCTCCTCGCAGGAGTACCAGATGCCGGTGTGGAAGCGGCGGAAGAGGAAGCGGTCGTCCCCGGTCTCCCAGCTGTAGTGCACCTTGTTCTGGTCCGTCTCGTTCACGCCATAGTCGATGCAATTGTGGCGCCGCTGCTTGCTGCAGTTGGGCTTGGGGACGCGTTGGGTGCCCTCGCACCAGTACGTGGTGATAAAGGCGGTGGTGGAGAAGAACAGGGCCACCAGGTTCAGACCCACCGACAGCAACGCGCGACATTTCCGCGTCGTCTTCATGATCTCAGTGCGAGCGGCAGCGTCCCCGCAGGCGGCGAGAAAGTTCATCCAAGAAGGAAGAGGCAGTTGGCGGTCAGAGGAGCTGGTGAGACATGGCGCGGCGAAGACGCACAGAGAATTTACGCGCGTCTCTGCCTCTTTTCTCCTCTTTGTGTTAGTTTGTCCTCAGAGAGAAGTGACAGGTGGTCCGGACTCTCCGAGAGAAACCGTAGACTATAAATCTTCCATCTGCCTTAGCATCACATCCTATACCTCCCAGCATCACCGTCAGGAGACTGTTCACTGTCAGAGAGCAGGATGCTCACTGAGGAAACGTGATCTTGAGAGCGAAGTCTCTTTCACTCTCTCTCCCGGCTCCTCGTGCGTCATCACCGTGACCGGACTGTTCTGATAAAGAAAAAAAAAAACTAGGAGGCAAGCGAAGGCTGCTACAACTATTTGTCATGATTGTTGTCGATTTTTATGGTAAATACTAACAGATTCCCACCCGAGTTCCCACAAATGTCACTTTTAGAATGACTAGTTTCTTCAGACAAACAGAATATTGAGTTTAATATTACACGACAAGGAGAAGCAGCAAAGGTTCTCTTAAGAGAAGCTGAAACCAATGCTTGTGTATTGACCTTAACTAACAAACTGCACAGTGACAGATATTTAAAGGATCAATGACGGATTTTTAAAAGGTGACATTTGTTAAAATGTTCCACAGTGCTTATCTTGAGATTAAATAATCTGGTGTCACAACTCTGTGGCTCCCCCACTATCACACTTTTTAGTGGCCCTATAATTCACTGAGAAGAACAGGCTGTTTAACCACTTAGCTTCTGGAAAACACCTGCAGAGCATCTGCACCAAAATAAATTACCAGCTTAATATGTACAACTGCAGATGGTGTGGCATAGAAAGTCAGAAACCTTTATCAATGTTTTACCAACACTTTCAAAACCTGGCAACCCAAAAGTCGTTGGTCTTAAATTGTTTATATATATGTATGTATTTGGCCATTTGGCTCATTCCCAGGGTCATTTAACGGCAGGTTGGTCAGTGGCCATTGATGTCTGATTCTGACACAGGGCACCCTCCAATGGAAATCTATCCACGGCAATGACGTTAACAGTGAGAAAGTCAAAGTACAGCATGCAGACAGGAAGGAGGGATGGTGGATGGATCAAACAAACAAACAAACAGTTTTTACCTGGGAGAATGCTGTTCATGTCCTTTACCTGTGAAACTGACATTTTATTTACAATTTTCTTTAGTTAATATCACATGACATACAGTACCTCACATACTTCTTAATATCTTTTGGTGACAAACTTAATTATTGTGACCCAAACCATGATCATTTTTTTTTAATCAAGCCAAGTAGTTTTGTTGCCTAAAATCGAAGGTAGTTTTTGGTGAAGAAACCCACGTTTCCTGTGAATGCAGAAGTTTATTTTGAAAAGACACAATCATGTAACAAGCATAAATTGATACTGTCACGTCTCGGGCTGGACCCAGATGCAGCAGACGGACAAAGTCAGGTAAGTTTACAATGTTTATTGAGTCAAAGGGGGGTATTAGCTGGCAGGCGGTGATGGCGGAGTACAGGGCAGAGGGGGTCCGGGGTGGCGTGGCTGGCGACAGGAGATCCTGGACAGAAACAATTATTAGTTCAAGTGGGAAAAAACAAAAGCAGGCAGAAGCTAAGCTGGGCACAAAACAGTAAACTAGGAGCTAGACGTACTACCGTAAACGGCAACGATCCAGCGGAGACTGATTGTTGCTGTGGGATACTTGAAGGTGAGGATGATGGCTTGATAGCAGACCGGTGTGTTGATTACTGCTGGGCGGCCGGTGTGTTGATTGAGAGAAGAGAGGGGAGGGAGAGAACAGGTAGAGAGACAAGAACAAAAACACACCAGCCATACACCCACTCACTCAAATGACTGAAAAAACAAACAAAAGCACGCATGCACACACACACACACACACACGCACACACACACAGCATCATGGAGGACAGGTCGTGACAGATTCATCCTTCTTAGGCATCCAAAACTGATACTAGAGGGGTACCTAAAGAGTCATAGTTTTAAGTGTAGGGCCACTGACCAAGCTGCTATTTGATGAGTTGGGAGTGGTGGTATAAGTTATACTGTATAATCAGAGGTGGAAGAAGTTTTCAGCTTTGTGAAAATGCATTTTCATGCCAAGTTTTTTTTAAGACTTTGTTTAGCATAACAAGAAGTAGAATTTTCTCACCCCATAAAGGAACACTCACAGAAAACTGTGATCTTAAAATCACTAAAGCTGTCAGACAAATGCAGTGGAGTAAAAAGTACAACACTGCTGAGATGCAGTGGAGTAGAAGTGTAAGGTTGCAGAGAACAGAATTACATTTAAAGTACAAGTACCTTGAATACATACAATGCTTGAATAAATGTACTTAGTTACATTCCTGGCTGTGATATATATCGCAGTCTCCACTGGACTCTAACAAGGCTTTATACTGTATGTCTTGTTTTATGAATGTTTAATACACATCAATCAAATGACAACAAATCCCTCACAGAACAAGGATGAAATAAATTTCTAGTTATTAGGGAAACCCCAGTCCACCATGACAGACTTATAGATCTTTTCTAATGGAACACACCTCTCTGTTATTTGTTTTTCCAGGTGTGACGTGCTGGAAGAACATGTAGAAACCAGCCCATCCCTTTTATCGATCCACCAGCAGAGAGCTCACATCTTCAGGCATGAAAATCACCAGCGACAAGGCCCAGCCGCCCACTGCACCAATCCATCACCTCTCATTTTATGGTTCCCACCTCCAGATCAATACAGCTGCCTGTGTGTGTGTGTGTGTGTGTGTGTGTGTGTGTGTGTGTGTGATGTATGGCAGCTCAGTCTGATTCAGAGTGACAAAGCACTTCAGAAGAGTCAATAAACAGAGCAGAAAACGGTGTGTTGATAAATGTGTGATTATGCTGTTGGATTTATCTGCAGTCAAACTCTGAACAGTTCAAATATTATCACTTAAATGTATAATGACTGCTGTCCACCTCAGCTGGTAGTGACCCCAGTTTAAACATTGTGAGTCCAGATTGTGACTTCCTGTGAAAGAACTTTATATATTTTGGTTTCAGTGCACATCTTATCCTCTGGATCACAATGTTTAGGAACAAAACAGCAGAGACCAGGGTGGAAATACATCCAAGTCTGATATGTTATATTTCAATGAATATATTTGAATATCATCCATAAACCAAATCTATTATTAGTTTTACCAATGTCAGTTTAAAGCCATAGTGGAAATCTAGTCTTACTCTCCCCTCTGTCATCTCCTGTCTGCCCATCAGGATGTTTTAGAGCGGAGAAAACTACAACAGAACAAAGGATGAGGAAACACCAGTAGAGGGAGTCATTTAGGGTAACTTTAAGAAGAGACTGTGATTGTAGTTATACGTTAAAGTTAAATTTCCCCCAAAATCAAAATTGCAGATTTTTCTTCTTACCTTTAGTGCTATTCATCATTCTAGATTGTTTTGGTGTGAGTTGCCGAGTGTTGGAGACATCGGCCATATAGATGTCTTCTCTCCAATATAATGGAACCAGATGGCACTCAGCTTGTGGTGCTTAAAGTGCCAAAAATACATTTGAAAAACTCAACAGCAATGTCTCTTTCCAGAAATCATTGCCCGGTTACTCAAGATAATCCAATCTTTTTTATTCCCAGGTTGGCAAATATCGACACTTTGTCACAGCTGTCGGCATCTCATAGTGGACCTACACATCAAAATATAATTGAATGGTACCCTCCTGCATCAGTTTTGGATGTTCAGGGATGGAGTGTCATTTAGAGCATGTGGTTAGGCTTAAAAAATCGCCATGGTTTTGCTTAAAATAAATACAATTGTTACTGACGTCATGTAACGTCCCATGATATACATCAAGTGACATACGTCACTGCCGTAGCATGCTACACATACTAACACACTACACTGTTATTACTGTAACTCAATTAACATTTGGTTTCACACAGGAAACAAACAGTGATCTCCCAGGTTAAAGTCCAGACTTTGTTTGACCTGTCCACATTCACTCCCGTACACCCTATATGGACTTTCTCGCTCTTTATACTACAGCAGTTGCCGGCGGTGTTACAAACTGCCGCTGGCTGGTGCGTTTCATAATGGCTCAAAAACTGCACTCTGTGCGTCAGTGTCTGATGTGGATGTCCACTGACAGAGAGCCAGGAATTAATGAGTTGGGAGTAGGAAGAGGCTGATGTGATGCACAGCTGAAACTCATAGTGAACATTGTGAAACAGTCACAGTTAGGTTTAGACAACAAAACTACTCAGGTTTAAAAAAAAAAAAAGATCATGTTTAGGGTTAAAATAAATATATCTGTTAAATAACGTCACAAGTGACGTCAGTGTGCAAGGACTGTATGTAAATTGCATAATGTAACATTAAAACAGCATTGACTTTTAGTCTTAAATGGGACACAAACTTTGATTTCCTGTATGAAAGTCTGGTTTTGTTTGACCCATTCACCTCCCTTCCCTCCCACCCTAGACTGACTTTCTCAGTCTTTATACTACAGTACGTCAGTTGTTCTCAGCGTCAAGTATTGCTGCAGATGGGTTGAGTTGGTTGAAAGCCCGGTGTGTTTGTTGTTTGGTGTTAATAGCACATGCTAAGGGGCGTGACAAAGCATCAGTATTTGACGTCCTGGGAATGAGAATGGGCTGGATGATCCACAGACCTTGTTATTAACAGTTTTGTGTAGTTTTGTTTTCTTTCTACCAAACTACACCAACCAGCCGAGCAGCAAAAGGAAGCATGAAATATATTTTTTGGTGCTTTGAGAAACACAAGCTGAGTGCCATCTAGTTCAATTATACTGGAGAGAAGGCAGACATCTCTATATCTCCAACGCTCTGCAATTCACACCAAAACAATCTAGACTGATAAATAGCACTACAGGTAAGAGGAAAACTATGTATTTTTGATTTTGGGGTGAACTATCCATTTAAAGAGATAAATACTTGACTCTAGTCTTCTTCTGTTTTGAACACAGACCACCATCTTTCCTTAACCTCAACCATAAGCATCTTAGCATAACAATAAAGAAATATAATCATGCTTTAGGTTACATGAGTGTATGTTGCATGTAAAATAAAAGATCTATGTTACCACACTTTGTACAACCAGATATGTTCATTAACAAATCCAACTTCAACTTTCCTCGTCATATTGATAAAAATGTGCATTTTGCTGTTGCAAATTAGCTGCACAAACATAATTTCTAGAAGACAGGATTGTTACGTACGTAACACCCTCCCTGGTCCTACAGTGTATCATTGTTTGACTTTTGCAGTAGTTTGTGTCAGTTAACAGTTTTCTGGCTGATTGGTTCCAATATTTTCATTTCCTTCTGACCCAGAATGCAGAAACAATCATCTGAAACCTTGACATGTTAATT